AAATAATATATATAATAAATTAAAATTAATTATATATATATATATATATATATATATATATATATATATAATTTTTTAAAATATATAATATATATAATATACTTAATTTTTTTTTTATTCATGTTATCTTTATATATTATTTTTTAAGTTTTAATTATAAATCATATTTGTGTTTGTTTTTGTATTTATATTTGTATTAGTATTTATATTTGTATTTGTATTCATATTTATATTTGTATTGCTCATATTATTGTAATAATCGTATTAATCGTTTCTTCCAATATTAAAGAATTTATATTGATTTTCATTTACTTAATTAAAAATGTTATTTACTCCATTTATTTATCCATATTAATTTGTAGTATCGTAACCTTAGAAATTATAATCTGGTTAAATTAATTATTCTTCTAAATTCCTAATTTATTAAAAATATTTATTTTTTTATTATAACTTTTATATATTTATTTTAATTATATATTTATATATACATTTCTTTTATTTTCGAATTTTACATTTTTGGTTCATTCAAATAATTTATTAAAAAATCATGCTCAATGTTATAGATGACATTGTCTTCTATGTTTTTTACTATTTTAAATTTTTATTTTTTATTTTCTATTTTATATAAATTTATTATGTATTTTTTGTTTATTTTTTTTAATTATTTTTTCTTGTACATATATTTTAAATAATATTAATTATTAAAATATATATTAAATTATTTTTATTATAATTATTATATTTATAATTTTATTTATATAATTAATTTTTTAATATATATTATTGTTTCAAATAGTTTAAAATATGTTAAAAAAAATTTTTTAAATAAATACAAATATTATATATTTATTTTTTAAAAATTTTAATTTTATTTATTTATATTTATTTTTAATTAAAATAGATATTATTCATAAATTAAAATTAATTATATTAATGTATGTTAAATTAATAATTTTAGTTATTATTTAAACAAAAATAAATTTAAATAAATAAGTTTATATATTAGATTTATTAAAAATTATAAAATTTAAATTATTTTTATTTAAATAATATTGTATGAATTTATTAAATAATTATTAAAAAAAATTATATTTTAATATTTATAATTAATATGATTAATAAAAAAAAATTGATTAAATAGTCTTATAAAAATAACAAATAAAATATTAAAATATTGAATAGAAAAATTATAAAAATAATAAAAAAATATATATAAAAAATAATATAAATAAAAATATATATTTATATATATAATTATTTATATAGATTTTATAGTTCTTATTTTTTTATTTAAGAATAAAAATCAAAATTATTTAAATTCTAAATCAATTTAAATATAGTAAAATAATTTAATTTTTAATATGTAGAGATATTTTTTATTGTTTATAAGTCGTTTTATGTCTCAAAAATGTCACATTGTGCAATATTATCTTTTTTCAATTAAATATCAATATTATAATTTTTTTTTATTTTATAAAAACATATACATTTAACTTGAAATATTATGAAAAATTATTACACTATATAATTTGAAGAAATTTTTTATTTATAGAATATTTTGTTAATTTATAATTATATGTTTGCGTTTATTAAAATTTTAAAGGTGATAGGTTTAATTAAAATTATTTTTATTAAATGATAATTATATGTTTATTTAGATAATGAATAAAAAATATTATTAGAAATATAGTTATATATGCAAAATAAAATATAGATAATCATATTGTTTATGTTAATAAATTAAATATTAATAATAATTAAAGCTATTTTTATATAAAAAATATTAAATAGTTTTTATAATTTATAAAAATAATGATTTCATTTTTTCAAAAATAAATTGTGGATTAAAATTAACAATAATATTTTATTCAATATTTTTATATATATATATTAACAATTTTCATTCATAATTTTATTAAATTAAAAGTAAAATTCATTCATTTTTAAAAAATTAGATGACAATATATTATAATAAATTAATATATATAAAATTAATGAATTTATTATTGATTATTTATGTATTAAAAATACACAAATTTAATTTATAATTATTTTAAAATAAAAATGAAAAATATAGTATTTGACTTTTAAAAAAGATTTAAAAAATAATTAAAATTAAATATATTAATATCATTATTATTATTATATTTATTAATAATTTTATTCTTTAGTAAAAATAAATAATTAATAATAATATTTGTATTTATTAATATTTATAATTGTATATTAATATTATTTTATTAATAAATATAATATATTTATAATATAATTATTATATATAATTAATCATATGCAACTATTTTATTAACTCAGATAAATTTTTTTTGAAAAAATTAATATAGAATAATTTATTTATTTAAATTAAATTTAATTATAAAATAAACTTATTATATAAAATTAAAAATTTATATTAAATATATAAAATTTAATTTTTTATCATTTTATATTTATATAAATTTTTTTAATATATATGGTTATTATTAAGAATAATTATTTAATTATATATATATTTTTACTAAATAAAATATATAACAAGTTTATGTTATTAAGATTTTATAAATATTATATATAAAAATTTTTATAGTATTTATTTATTTATTTTTATATATTTATATAATTTAAAATTTATAATTATTTATTTAATATTTTTATTTATATTAAATCTAATTTGAATTACCATTTTAGTTAAAATTTATATAATTTATTTAAATATTATATGTCAAATTTTAGAGATTTTATTAAAATTACTATATATAATAAATTATATTTTTTTTTATATATATTTAATTTTTTTTTTATATATTATTAATATATATAATTAAAGAAATTATTTTTTAATAATAATAAGGAGAAAAAAATATTAAGCAATATTATAAAAAAAAATGCAATTTAAAAAATATGAAAATTAAATAGGAATAAATTAAGAAAATTTTAAGAAAAAATATCATTTTTAATTTTTATAATAATAAATTCTACAGATATCACAAGATGATAATATTTAAAATTTGAATATAATCTTATCTAAATAGTAAACAAATATATATATTCCATTCGACCAGCAAACAAGAGTACATAAAGAAGGATTTACAAGCGAATAATACTCGCAATTCTAATATTTCGGGGCAACGTTAATAGAACAAGCTTGTAAAATGTTATAATTGCCTATATAAACATGTCATACAGCTTAAATATTATTTCATAGATATTATTATTGGTAATAAAAATATTATTTATATATTTTATATTAAATAAAGAAAAATAATAAACCTATAAAAATATGTATTTTTATTTATTAATATATATATATTTTATAATTTTATATACTAAATTTTATTTAATAAAAAATATAAAGTTAGTCATTTTTATATACCAAATTAATTGATATAATTCCTGGATGTGTATTTTTAAGTTGTAAAATTTAAGAAACTTTAAAAACAGCATGTGAAATAAGTCATGTATTTTCTGAAATTTTTAAAGTATTATAAATAAGAAATAATTAAATATTGATATAATAAAATATTAAAATTATATATTTAAAATATTTCTTTTTTAATATATATAAAACTATATAACAAAAAAATTAAAATATATTCATATATATATATAAATATATAAATATATAAATTATATATATATATATATATATTAATATTAATATTAATATTAATATTAATATTAAATATATAGAAAGAATAAATTTTTGAAAATTTTAAAAATTAAAAATCTTTGGAATAATTAATAATATAGTCTGAATTTAATATATTAAAAGTATTAGGTTTTGAAGTACATTATTTTAATGAAAATAATCCACATAGGTTGATGTATAGTTATATAAATTTGTTCAAAAATAATTAACAAATTAATAATAATAATTTTTAAGAATTGAGTAGGTGTGCTTTTTATTTTCTAAATGATTCTTTTAAGAGTAATATATGTTTATATTTGCCTATTTAGAATATCATTGCAGCATGTATTTATTCAGCGTTTAGACTATTGAATTTGTAAATGCCTAAAATTGCTTGGTGGACAATTTTGGAGTGTTCTTATGACAATATGTTACTTGGTTCTGGTAAAATTTTCTTTATTTTTAATTAAATTAAGAAAGGAAATAAGGTTTTATTTAATGATTTGTAATTTTTGATTGATTAAAAATTGAGGAAAATTCAAAAATAAAAAAATAGAAGAAGTGGAAGTTCAGATTTTTAAAAAAATCATGAAATTAAGTAAAATAATTTTAAATATCATAATTTTTAAGATAAGTAATAAGAATATTCACATAAATCTTCTATTTCTTATAAGAATTTTGAAAAACATGAAAAATAATATGAAAAAAATGGAAAATATTATGAAAAAAAAAATTAATATTATTAAAAAACAGATAAAAGTACAAATGATAAATATTCTAATAGTAGATATAAAAATCATTATCATAAACATAAATATTAAGACAAGTCAACTGGTTATAGTAGTAAAAGTAGAAGTAGAAGTAGTAGTAGAGATATAAAAGATAGAAATATATCTAAAAGAAATAGTTAAGAAAATAAGAAATATCCAAGTTAAATTATTATTATTATTTATTTTTAAGATAATATATATATATATATATATATATATATATATATTTATATATAAAGATCATCATTATCACATTTAAGATTATTATGAAAAATAAAAATTCGAGAAAAAAATTAATAAAAGGTTGATAAAATTTATGAATAAAAAAAGAATTATTATAATTAAATGTAAATATCTAAAAATAAAAGATTATAAATTTTAAGAATAAAAAATATAGGAAGAACAAACTTAAGAAAAATAATAATTATTATAAAGTTAATAATTTCCAGAAAGTAATAATTTTTAATAAGGTTTTTATAAAAATAAAGAAGACTTTTAAGATATTGAATAATAATAATAAGAAAACTCTTCTAATAAAGAATTTAAGTTAATATTTATTATTTATTTATAAATATAAAATATATTACATATATTATATTATTTTAATAGATTTGAATATTTTTTATTTAAATTTTTAAGTATTTAAATATAATAGATATCCTTTTAATTTATTTATTTTTTAAAAAACAAAAATATTTATTTTTAATAATTATTTATATATATATTCAATTTAAATAATTAAAAAATAGGATTGAAGACTAAAATCTTATTTAACATAAAAGTGAATTTTTATAAAAACTTAAATTAACTTTGAAAAAAGCCAATTAAGAAACTGAAAAAGATGAAAAAGACTTACTTACTTCTTTGCGTGAAAAAAGTAAAAAAATATATTTATTTTTTTATAAAAAAATAAATAATAATAAGGAATGATGATGAAATTAAAAGAATAAAATAACTTTAAATAAGTTATATATTAATAATGATTACAACAAAATTTTTTTAAAAAAAAGCTTAAATAATAATATATTTAATAAAATAAATTTATTTTTATTTTTTATGTGTTTTATGTAATTTAAATTTTTTTTTTTTTTTTAATTCAAATTAAGTCTTCTTCAACTGAATAAACTTATTGTTATTAAATTTAATAATTATTCTAATTTTATTATATATTATTATCTTATTATGCGTTATTTCCTTAAAAAATATAATCAAAATCTTCCGAAATTAATCTTCTTTATTAATTATTTTCTTCATTATTTTATTCACTATTTTATTCACTAAAATCGTTAAAATTTTCAAAATTTTAAAATTGATTTTCATCGTTGTGCCATTCATTTACTTAATATTATTCACTGTTTTTTTCATCATTATCGTTCATATTTTCTAAATTTTAAAATTTATTAAATTCCAAATCATTAATAGAATAAGGTTCTTCTTATTAATCATTGTTTACTTAAATTAAAGTACCCCAAATATCATCAAATTATTATTATTATTCTTAAATTAATTACTAATTTATTTATTATTAATCTAGAATAAATAAATCATTTTATTATTATTATTATTATTATTATTATTATTATTATTATATTTATTTTTATTATTATTTTTCTTATGAATATTATTTTTCTTATTGTTCTAATAATTCTTTTTATATTTTTTATTCTTACTATTCTTTTTATATTTATAATTTTTTTTATTCTTATTTTATTATTCTTATTATTCTTATTATTCTTATTATTAATTTTTTTACTATTCTTATTATTCTTTTATTTTTTTTTATTTCTATTATTCTTATTATTCTTATTATTCTTATTTTTCTTTTTATCTTTATAATTCTTATTTTTATTATATATTTTCTTATTCATTTTATTCTTATTCTTATTCCTTTTATTTTTATAATTCATATTCTTATTATTTTTGTTCTTCTAATTATTCTTATTAATTATATTAATTGTATTATTCTTATTATTATAATTTTTCTTTTATTTCTTTTTAATCTTCTTAATTTTATTTTTATTAATCATTTATTTTTTATAATTTTAATATCTCTTACAATATTTATTATTGTTATTATTCTGATTTTCTTTTAATTTTATTATTCTTATATTTCTTATATATTTATTTATTCTTATAATTATTATTTTTATTATTCATATTATTCTTATTAATCTTATTTTCTTTTCTTATTATTCTTATTATTCAAATTATTCTTAATAATATTTTATTTTATTATTTTTTTTCTTCATATTTTTCTTTTTATCCATTTTATTCTTAACAGTCTAATTCTATTTTTTCTTATTATTCTTATTCTTCGTATTTTTTTTGTATACTTATTTTTCTTATTATTCTTATTATTCTTATTATTCTTATTATTCTTATTATTCTTATTATTCTTATTAATCTTAT